GAAACTGTTAATGAGTCCTTGATTGATCAATATTGCATGTCTCTATCTGTTTTCATGAGAAACCACTTTGAAGATATCAATATGTAATACAACAAGCACTGTTAATTTCCTACCTCTTTGTTTGTAACTCTGTATTGTCTGTGCTGTTCTTTTGCAAGAACAAATTTTGTAAAAGGTTGTCTGTCTGTTAATGTTTTCCTCCTCCTTTATTTTTAAAATAAAAAAACCACTGAGCTTTAATGTCCTATCTACTTGTCCACATTCCCCTGCAGACTTATGCTGTATGAGAATAAAAGTTGTATCTGTTTTATTTGCTTTATAACCCTAGTTCTAGGACAGAATCTACATAGTTGATATTCAGTTATAGCCATAAGGTAAATAAATGAATGAGCACAGCTGTGTGAACATCTTTGTGTGCAAACCCATAGAACCAAGGAAGACCTGGTTTCAATTCTGAAGGAGCACAGGGTTAAGGTCAAATTATAATGGCTGTAATCCAAGGCACAGTAAGTTTTATGAAAGAGATATGAAATTTTCTTTATGAAAGAAAATTCTGTAGCAATTCAGAGGAAAATAACAGTACATAGAGATGAGAAAAGACTTCTCAGAAGAAGGGGCATTTGAAGTAGGTCTTCAACGAAGGTTAGAACTTAAGTAGGCAAAGATCATTAATTGACAATTAACATTCAATTTATGATCCATGTACTCTGAATAAGAAGATTCTGTTTTAAGCTTTAAGTTACTAAGAAGACAAATAAGATATAGTTCTTGTCTTAAGAAGGCCATTGATGCAGTTGGGAAACAGATACACTATGAGCGATGGCATAGGGCAAATGAACTCCACGCTGAAGTTAGCTGTGTAAACAGCACCACAGGGGCTCAGAGATGGGAGGGTGGAGGACAGAGCCAGAAGATGAGGGATTGACTCTGGGTGTCTTTTCCACTAGGGTGGAGAATGTAAGAGTAAGCCTTGCAGCTGTGGATTTTAATGAACTTCTTGAAACTTGCCTTTGTTTCTTTTTGTTGCTTGGTAACTCTAAGTGCGGCTCATGAGATGGTCACCACTGGGAACAATTTTTTTAAAGGCTAAATTTAAATCCCCCACTTACACACAGACTGCACTTGTAAAATTCACTTTGGTCATGTTAGGAGCATTTCAGTCAGATTTCACGTTGCCTTTAATGTCTGTTGTACTGTATGTACCCTTCTAGGGTATTCACTGAACTCTTACCTTTGGCAACTCCCAGGGACATTTTCAGCTGGTTTCTTCCAAAGGGAGCTATGACTGGTTAGACTGTACTTCAAGTGAGATCTATTTATTTCCCCTGTCCTTCTTGGACTTCTACTTTGGGAATTACAGGCTATGTGGCTTTGCAGTCCCAGTGTGTATATGCTAAGTGGCGTGCCTACTGCAGATGGCTGCCTCAGCCCTGGGGAGGCTGTGAGGTTGCTCAGCAGCAGCCTGAGTAGAAGATCCAAGGGAAAGTTGAGCAGTTTTCTAAAATCATCAATTAACCTAAAGCTGATACATAGACTCAGATCCTTGCCATGATCTCAAATACACTGTGTGTGTGTGTGTGTGTGTGTGTGTGTGTGTGTGTGTATTGGGAGGGTTGGAGCGTCACTTTCAAGTGTGACTGCTGACAGTATGAAGTTGAGAATTCCCTGAATCACTAGCATAATCACATTTAGTTAACGACCCCTATTACAGAACACTGGAAGGGATAGTACTAGTATTAAGCAGCAGTTTGTAAAAAAAATCTTCAAATATATAAGGACCCCAAAACTACTCTTTGGTACATATTACTTTCCAGAAAAAAATTGTCCTGGAAAGATGGGCAAGTTAGTACTAAGTGTATTTTTTTCTTGGGAGAAGGGATTTCCTGGGAAGAAGAAACATTATTAAATTATGAATATTCTGCCGTTCTAGAACAAAGGAGGATGTAATGATGAGATCATCTCTAAGTGCTCAAGCCCACCCTTTCTCACTGGGAGTAATGCAATTTACAAGCCCCAGGTAATGGCGATCCATTTGTGATGTCAGCACAAGTGATTTTGGAATCTCACTCCATTCTATAAGAGCAGATGCTTCTCAAATGGAGTTTGTTGAAACTCTAGGAGTTTTATTAGTTTAGAGTACGTAGGCAGCTACATATACTAACGACACTAAAACATTCATTATCCTGTTAACTTAAGCATAGCTGATGGAAAGTGTAAATATAAAATATTTTAGAGCAGAAATACTACCCTCCTGCTAGCTTTGGTGTCCCTAAGCGTTACCAGCCCACCCAAGCACAGTTATGCTGACCAAGTTCTAAATAAGTTGTAAACCAGCTGAAATTCTGTGGGGAAAACATCCTTCCTATTAAAAAAAAATCTGTTATTTTCTTGGCTAACTCATGCAGAGGGTTTGCTTTTTTATTTGTAATCCTTTAAAACACATACCAAAATCCAAGAGTATGAGTAAAGAGAAAAGAATACTCTGTAGGAGGGCATTAGAGAGATACACACCCACATTATGTGTGTATAAATACTTTATGAAGCTGTATTTGGAATCTGACCTCCTACTGACAGAAATGGAAAGCTGGTTTCTATTGACTCTGAGCCACAAAGACCCGCCCTATCAATGTTCCACTTCACTGGGTCAGTGAAGATTTTCACTCTGCTAGAAACGTCTTACTGTCTGCCTAAGAAATCCCTTACCATAAATACTTCACAAAGCTCTGAGGAGGGCAGATTCTGGCCAGAAACATCCGTGCCCCTTTGAAACCAGGCACCTTGCCGTATTTCAGCCAATCCTGGCAGACGCTATCTCTGGGATTTGCCAACACTATTAAGGAAAGGAAATTACAAGTTTCTGGTGGAGGTGGGGAGAGCTGCACTCGGCGCTCTGCTTAGAGGAAAGTGCTTATGAGGTGTGCCTTGCTGAGTACATATTACATGTGTCTGAATAACTCAGACCTCTATCTGGTTCCTTACTACAGCTACAGAGAAACAACATAAGAAGATAAGCAACACGGTGTGCAGCTAAGAACTTAGGTATCACTGAGGCCATTTCGTCCATTCATCAATCATTGGCCTAGGAGAAAGAGAACATTCACCAGCATTGTTTCTGCCAGGCAAGTCATTGCTCTGCTTCATTCTTTACATCCTCAGAACTGCCAAATCCTGTGCCATCACATTTTGAAATGCATGTAGTTGCTGTGCTCCTTTTCTGCATCTTTTTTTGCAGCACCTGGGGAGCATGTCTCTTGGTAGCTCAGGTCTGCCCACTTTTACAGGGGAACAAGTCCCCATGGAGAACAGAGAGAAGTATCTGGTCTCAATTTGCTGCTATAGCAAGAGACCCTGCTGAGTACTTTCAGATGGTTTTGGCTGAGCTCAAGGCATTGTTGGATGAGGCAGAGATGGGAAAACTATAGCTGTATATAATTATATTCCCAGAGTCACAGAGATGAATTTTGGCTTTATTCTAAATCCCCCTCAAAGCACAAAACTATTTTTTCCTGACATGAACATCTACTTGCCTCAGTAACAGTAAGAGAACCTTGTCTGTTATGAGTTATCTTCTTCCTCATCCCCTTGACCCGCATGGCTGTGAGAGTACTATGTCGCTCGTGTCCTACCTAGAGTGGGGCTAAGCCTTGAAAAACTGTGATGTTCTTAGGCACACTTAAGGGGAAAAGGTAATTATTAAGTGTAAAGCTCAAGGCCAAAATCCCATCTCCTCCACAAAACCTTCAAGCTAAAATAGCCTCTCTTAACCTTGAATTCCTATGCACTGCCCTGACATTCAACCAAAAGAGCTCTAAACTTCCATGAGTTCTGCTGTTTTATGTGTCGTTTCTCCTGTGGATCTCAGGTTGTTAGAAGGTGGAGATCTTGTTTTAGTTTTTCCTTCATGTCCTGGTGACACCTGCTTCAATAAGCTCCTATTAAGTGCTCATTAAATGCTGGCTTAATTAATGAATAAGTCTTCCTCCCTCTTCCACCAGTCCCATCAGACTACATTGATTCCCTCCAGTTTATACTCTAGAGCTCAACTAGTGAGCTATTTTTGTGATCCTGGCTATTAATCTCAGCAAGACTGACAGCAGTAAAATCAAACTGGCTTTGTCCGGGAGAGCAGACCAGGAGCCGTCTGAGCAGGAGACAGCGCTGCTGTCACTGTCATCCTGCATCCAACCAATGCCTTCTGAGAGCAGTTTCCAGCTTGAAAACAAAGTAGAGCAGATAAGTATGGTCCCATTACATATGTTACAGGAAAACCTGGGATTAAAATCTTCTTAAATGGTTCTCTTCCTGATTGCATTCTAGAGGTCACTTCCGTTTACAAACCAGAAAAAAACTTCGAGTTTGAAAGAACAGCTATGACCTACTCCAAGCAGACAGGACTGAGGTGAAGCTTGACCTCGATGCAGCTCCCACACTCTTCCACTCCCAGCCCCCGCTGCACTGCTGTTTTCACCAGAAATCAGACAGTTCTCTGTCCAGTATTATTTCTTACTTAAATAAAAAACCAAAAGACAAAACAAAAAACATCTGTTGCAAACAAATAGGACTTGATAAATTTTCCCATTAGGAAAAAAATTTTTTTTAAATGATGCAGAAAAAGAGTGATGATTAATACAAATATATTGTCAATGGCAGAAATTCAAGCATTAGCTCAGTCCAGCTGCAAAACACAGGCATCTTTTCTGTTAGTGACAGGGACTCAAGGATTAGTGCAGTCATGGTGCAGAAGCAGCAGCAACGAAAAGGCTTTTTACCTGAGGGTAGGTGACTCCTGACGGTAGGTGAGTATTCATGATGCTGGTGCTCATCGTAATAAATATTTCCTGCAGAATCAGGAGTGCAAACATTCCTGGCCACATCACTTAGCATTGCTTTATTTTAAAAGGGAGAGGTCATCTCACCCAGCTGTTTGGTGATCTAATATTCCGGAATGAAAACAACTAAAGGTTAGCAATGAATCTCAGTCCTGAATCCAAGCTGATACTTTCACTTTAGAGGCCTGGGTTTATCTGGAGAGAAAAACCAAACAGACCCCTTAGGAAAAGGAAATGCAGCACTACTAAGCTTTTTACTTTGCAGAAGTGTCTTCTAAGGGAGCCCAGGAGCCAGTCACATGGCTCAGCTTCTCCTTATCCACCTTCTGAGGCGGCTCTCCCATTTGGGTTGGTTCTGCTATCTTATAATGACTAGTTAAAACCTGTGCCCTTGAGTTTTGGCCAAAATTTGGACACAAACTCATTTCTTTGCTCTTCTCCTTAACATAGCTAAGTCACGTCAGAACTTTCACAAATACCAAGTAAAACAAATGTAAAGAGCATAGAATATATCCATACATGAAAACTCTTTGGTATATGCTTTATACTGAGTTATCCTCCAAGAGCCTCATGTGCTCAGAGGCAGGGTTTTGGGAAGGCGATTGAGTTATAGGGGTGCCACAGCTAAATGTCTGATTAGGAGGTGGGGCCTGGTCAAGAGAGGTGGGTGGCTGTGGCTGTGACCTGAAAGGGTCTCTCTCCCTTCCTGGCTCCTCTCTTTGCCTTGGCTCCCTGGCTGCTGGGACCTGAGCCGCTTTTCCATCTGTGTGCCCCTTCCGCCATGCCATCTGCCCTGGAGACAGCTGATGCTGAGCTGAAACCTGTAACTCTTTCAATGGTGAATGTTGGGTATTATGCCACAGAGAGGAGATGGTGACTAAGCCACAGCTTTCTGATTTTATGGACCCTGCCTTATAGCCAGGGCTTCTGGACCTTAACCTGTTGGGTGCTTTTTCTGGGTTGGTTTTACTTAACCCTAAGGGACTGGCATACATTTACAGCATCTGCCTGTCTTCTTACTTCCCAGGTCAACTCCTTCCAGATGTCTTGGCTATGCTATGGTCAAGATCTGAAAAAAACATATTTCCAGGTGACCACTACAGTCTCCACTTTCCCATTCCCTGACGCTCCTTCTACCATGCTGTAGTCGGAGAAGTGCATGTGTTAGCCAAGTGATGGATGCTATGAGCCACCGCACTCTCCAGGTGAGGTTCCCCTGAGCCCACTAGCAGCAAACACCTCCCTCCTGTAGGGGTTCAACAATACCAAACCCCATGAGTGATGAATTGACAGGACAGGACAGTCCCGTGTTCATGCAGTCGGAGTGACTTTATCCAGTCAGAGGAAATGGAGGCAGCTCAAGAGCTGTACCTGCCCTGTAAAAATCAGGACAAGCGGTCCTTCACTTCTAAATTAAGATTTGGAATGACTCAGGCTTTTCTTTCCCAGGAGTTCTTCAGTGCAAACATCATTAGTGTACTGACTGAAGCACAGAGGCTCCACATCTTTTTCATCAAGGCACTTTCCACTTAAAATGATTCCCACTCATTTATTAATATTTGGTTTCCACCCCTAATGTCTCTCCTTTGCTCTGCTTCCATGAGATCAGCTTGACCAAACCCATAAAGAGCTGGCTTTGTTGGATAAAGTTGGATGAGTCTTTGCAGGGAGAAGACAGCTGCAGTGTGGGGAAAGTGGGCCTGCAGGGGCCAGACTCAGGCTGCCAAGACAGAGGTCTGGATGACTTTGTCCTTGCTGAGGGCAAGTACTGCGTCATTCTGAGTTCAGTCACCCGAACTGTACAGGCAAATGTCTGGAAGCCAATAAGTAGGGAAAGAAATCTGTTGAGTTATGGCAAGAGCTTACTCCTCATCTAAAACCACAGCAAGTGAGCGGGAATGAAAAGTTTTTCTTCCTGTATCTGGCCTCTGAAGCCCAAGCAGAGCAGTATACAGTCTCCTGACCTGTTGACCCACCAGAGAAAAGCAGGATATGGTTTTCTGATGTGTTGACCCTGTGTAGTTCACAAATATGAATTCACACAAAAATATTTTTTATTCACTGAAAGAGGAAACTGTTCTAGAAAGACAGTTCTTGCTTAACTGTTGAATACCAATCAAACAGCAGGAGTGTTTATTTGGAGTAGGCTATTCCTACATGAATAAATCTTATCACTGCCACCTCCGCGCCACCCACCCGAAACTCTCTTAACAAACAGGATCTGCTTGACTTGCCTCTTCTCTGCCTTCATACTGAATTTTGATGACATTTGCTCTTTATTTTTCTTCTCCACCCAGATTCCTGTTTTCATTTATTTTGTGGAATAACCTTTTTAAAGTACTCACGTTGTAGCAAGACTTTCGCACCCACCGTGTTAACCTCTTCAATACCCTCAGGTCCCAGTTCCTGTTTCTCAGCTGAGCTGATCTTTACCTGCACTGCATTTCTCATCAGCATGTCTACACAAATCTCTCAAAACCCAGACACTCCTGCATCTCCGTGTTCCCCTTTAAAATATCCCCCTTTCTTCTTTGTAATTTTGCCCACATTTGTGATTTCCTGGCAACCACTGAACCTACTTTTGATCATCACCAGAATCTTTGAGGTCTTAACTTTTTCCACTCTACCTTTTAGAGTTACATGATTTCCAATTTGATCCAGTGTCCAGGAATTTCAGCAGAGATTCCCAGTTCTCTCCTCCCCTCCAAGGAATGAACGTTTCCCCTCAAAATATCTCAGCTTTTAAGACCAATTTAGAGAATCCAATTTCTCAGCAATCAGATCTCTTTTGATCCCTAAAGGAGAGGAAGAGAGAACTGGGCATCTCAGCGGACAAGGGCAGCTAAGCAACTGTGGGGCAGGGGCCGTCAGCAGGTTGGGAAGGGTGGCTGCTGTGGCCACACGCTGCAGCAGGATCTGCAAGGTCAGCAGTGGCCACCTGGGAGGGGACCAGAACCAGCAATGTTAGGTGGCGATCAATGTCGCAACTAGGACAGCAGAGCCAAGGACAACAGCAGCAATGGGAAAGCCACCCTGACTCCCCAGATATGATTTCCTCTTCTGTCCCAACTACTGAATCAGAGTCCTTCTAAGAGAGGGTTGGAACCAACAAAAGATGGAGGAGGAAGGGTTTCCAGGGAAAAACAACATCAAATAAAAGCATCTGGCCACCTCTTTGGTTTTTAGGATTGTAATGTAAATCTCTTGTTTTTTCTTTTATCTGTTTTCCCTTGTACTTGACATTTTTTAAAGGCCAAATTTGTTACATAGCTCTTGAGTTAACTCTTTGTTCCCCAGGGTCCTTCCCACAGCAGCCATGACTCCAGACCCCACGAGATCCCCCTTGGGTCCTCATCTCAGGCCTGACAGAGGCGGGATGCACTCCCCTCGGTCCTCCCGGGGATATCTCTCTGTCCATTCCCTGCTCAGCCTGTCCCTCCGAGCTTCTGCCACGGCACTCCACTTCATTCCTTGCTCTTTAGCTCCCTTTCAGGCCATGCCCTTCCATTATGACCTACCTCTCACTGCCTTGCCTTGCCTTTAAAACATTCTACACCTGAAATAGATGTAGCTGACCTTGTGCCCATTCATACATCATCTTATTTTTCTTTGCCCTTTAAAGCTCTTTAAGTACAGCTTCTATTTCCCTCATAGGTCTAGAACTGACCTGTTAATTCACTCTTAATGAGCTGTCCGTGCTTTTGATAGCAGTATTTTCAGGCAGGCTTGACATCCCAGGTTTTTTTGTTTTTGTTTTTGTTTTTTTTTTGGTTCCTTTTAATCCCTCTTTCCCATCCTTGTACTCACAATTCACAATGGAGTAATTGATCGCCATATACTGGCTTCTCAGTTGGTTACTAATTGTGTTCATTTCTATCTGATCCTAGTTATTAGACTCATCAATTCTTTAGTGAACTGTTGTCGTAATTTTGTAAGTAGTTTCCTTTTCATCTCAAGGAATCCACTCTGTGAACGGGAACTGGAAAGAATCTTTCTACCCTGCAGACCCAACTGAGTTACCTCCTCTTTAAATTGTTTAATGATTCCCCATAACATATAGGGCAAATTCCAAACCCGTCACCTGCCTGGAAGTTCTTTCTTATGACATTTTTCCAATTTTATCTTCTGTGTGCCACTCCCTGCCTCACTGTCATCTCTTGCTCAGCCATGTGAACACACAGTGGATCTGTCTACCTACACATCTGCCTACACATCCACATACAACAGCATCCCTTTGCCCTGCCTTTCTTGGCTACACTCCTGGCTCTCTCTTGCTGAGAAAGCTGCCTCTGCTCCATTCCAGAGTAATGCACAGGTTCCCACATAGTCAGAAATGCATCTAAGGAAGCTATTTTTCACTCATGAGGATGCAGTAGTTATTTCATTCTGTGTGTGTCACGCCCTAGCAAATCCCCAGTAACTGTGGCAAGGCTGACACACATCTGAGAGAAACAGCTGGCAGCACCTTTCACCTGCCTTCAAGTCTGAACAATGTGGTGATGAGAACTTCCACAGACCCATTGCCCCTTTGAGCATCCTGGCCACAGTGGCTTGTGGGTGATTAAATGGTGCCACCCGGAGTTATTATTTAAATTGTGGTTCAATATTTATTTAGTAAAATGGGGAAAAGAGAACTTGTAGTAATAAAATTTAGGTTAATAATATGTTGCAACTTATAAGATTCATGATATCATTTGTGTTAACATTATTAATCATGGTTATATGTATTATTTATAATGTATCACCCATTATAATAAATACATTATATCTGTTATCTCATTTAATCCGCATTTTATTTGATTTTATTCTTACTATCTTATTTAAAGTTGCATCATCACCTACCTGTCACTTCCAATCACTCTTAACCTGCTGTACTTGCTTTTTGTAAAAAAAAAAAAAAAAAAAAGCCACTCTCACCTTCTAATGTATTACACTCTTTACTGCTTTATTCCACTTTCTATTTCCTGTTTTTTCGGGATTGGTAAATTCCACGGGACAGAAACTTTTGTCTTCTTTTTCACCCCATTATAGAAACACATAATAGGTGATCAGTAAATATTTGTTTCATGAATGGCCACAATTTTATAGATAGATAATCCTTTTTACATCTTCATTTTATGCATAAAGAGATGAAGGCACAAAGAGGTCAGGACACAGAGCATGTAGATAGAGGACAGGGTTTGAATTGACAGTGAATCACAGGTCTGCATGCATAACATCCCTGAATGTATACTAGTGATTTGTTTGGAATTATGTTTTGTTTAAAAATGACCAACAGTCATGCCCATTATTGCTAGTGATCACTTTTATGCACAATAGTTATCAAGTATTATTTGAAATACTTTTAGGAGAACTTTTGTTTCTGGCTTTTATGTTCCAAAATGTTTCCTTCTTTTACAAAGTTCATGTTTTCTTTTTAGGTTTTATTTTTGTGCGGGTGTTGTTTTTTTTTCCAAAATAGGAAATGTCTATGGAAGTATATACTTAGGATGTTTACATTTAGGTCATACATTAGATCACTTGTTCCTGGTAAGAACGCTAGCCCATGTTTACATGGCCTCAGAATTTCACTGCCACAGAGAAGGGTTCACCAGCCAGGTGGTCTTCCCGATGACTGGTGCATCTGTGTCACTCCAGAGATCTCCAAGGAGATGTGACAAGGTCAGCGAGGACAGGTGATGTCATATGCTTCAGATTTTTCCTCTTCTGTCTGCTAAATACTAGCTAAGAGTTATTACTTTGAATAATTTAGAGAATGAGCAAGACATCTGCTCATTTGTTCACTTTTAGAAGATAGGCTGGTGATAGCACAGTGGAGAGGGACCCTGGAGTCCAATGCAATGTCCTGAAATTGGAGCTGAAATCCTGTTGAGGAGGTTGAGGTTGAAAACACATAAATGCACAGAAAAATAAGTAGGCCTAAATTATAAGGGCTATGAAGGGAAAACAAGATGCTAGGGAATAAAATGATGAGGTTTATTTTGCCATTTTCTAAATAACCATTCATAATGATTTTTGGCAGTAATTTTAACTGAAAAATTTTTATACTCAAGTATTATTTATCTTAAGGACCATGTTTTTGACTCCTCCTCTTAAGTTTTATTGCCTTACTCTGGTTCTAGTCTGTGGCTCAGTGTGCTTCAAGAACAGAAGTCCTGTTTGCCAGAGTTGCATTCTGCCCATTGATGGAGGAGGGCTGATGGGT